AAACAACTTGTTGATACGAATAATGATTGTGTGTGGTTTCTCATTTTGGCTAGAATCAGCAGGTTCTAAAGTAGTCCCTTGCGTATCTAACACCTCGAGATTGTTTTCATTGAGTTCTTTCTTTTCTTTGGTAGAAGTCTCTCTTCCTTTGGATAAAATATCTATTCTATCCATCATCTTGGACATTTGCTCTTTTATCTCTCTTATCTCAGTGTGCTCTTCGTCAGACATATGATCTTTATGTGTGCAACTCTCCACTGTTTTCGAAGCTTTCTCAGGATGCCATTTCTTGACTGTGTTATAGTCTGTTTGATCACGAAACCCCTTGTCCATCATGAAAACCTTTTACTATGATAACCACTCACAAATCAACACCTCTTGAATATGTCATGATCATGCAATGCAGACAAAGAGAAAAAACACAAAAACAAGTTAGTACAAATGAGATAACAAAATGAAAAAAGCAACAATAACTAAATAAATAAATTAATGCTAATAAGAATGCAAATGCAAATGCACAAGGTTTTAATTCCAAAAGTGACCACCATAGAACAACCTTCATTTAGACAACAAGAATTCAGTACACCATGTAGTCAAAATATAAATGTGATTCTTCATTTCTTTATTTCCTTAAGTTGTACTCTTCATGGAATCTAATATTGCGTCCAAAATTGTCGGCGTACTTTATCACCTTTAATGACACCAAATGTCTTTAAATTGAATCTTGAGGTCTCCATTTTTACTTTCAATACGAAGTGATCTTCATGTCTTTGTGAAGGGTCTTCTTGTCCTTGGTATAATTGTATCTATCTTCTGAGAATATCTTGGCCTTCACTCTTTTAAAGGAAGTCTTCAATCAGCTTCAGATTTCTTCATTCATCGGATGTCCTTCTTCATGGATCATCTGAATATCTTTGAACCTCCTGATTTTGACTACATGGTTAAGAATTTCTTGTTTCAGTATGACCAGCCTTCTTATTAGTCAATCACTTGCGAATTAACACCTTGTGATGACATGAAGATGCGAATGCAATAAAATCAAAATAAAATAGACATAGAAAAAAAATAGGTTAGTACACATAATATCAACAACAAGATAATAAATATCATAATCATTAAATAAAACCTACCCTTACATGTTGGCTACCCAATCATGTTTTAGTAGATCCTACCCAACATGATATCTACCTCCATGCTTTGTTTGAACATTAAAATCCTAACCGCATAATATCTAATTCACATGCTTGCTTGACAAATAAACCTAACCGCATGATTTCTAGTTCGCATGCATTTATTCGAAAAGTGAAAATAAATGACTCAAAAAGCTTTTCCTTGTGTACCCTTCTCACGGGACTCTTAAGGTTCGGGTTAGGCTCGACCTAAGTTCGGGCTCTAAGTTCACTATATGATGGGTTCGGTTCTAAAGTAATAGGTTCTCGAATTGTCCTTGCCGGTGCCCCTTGGGCTGTCGAACCCTCAATCCTGGCCCATCACAGGCTTTAGGGGATCGAGTTCAATTTCGAGGGAACACACCTCCTTATGTCCATGCGGAGGTGATTACCATCACGAGGACCATAAGGCGTGAGCTTCAGGAGCGATCCACTATCCCATACGGAGGTGAAAACCACACGAGGGCATAGTCTCTCACTCCTACTTAATTAGGACGGAGCGGGGCTTTAGCTCATGTTATGATAATGCAGCTGTACAGTGTGTGAGGAAAAGCAAAAAAACAAACAATAAAAACACTCAAAATCAATTCCCAAAACACACAATTATTCTGAAACCATTAGCAAACAAATCAGTACAACTATTTAATTGTTAATCGAATTAAATTAAAAAAGACCAAAATACAAACAAAACTTATTAAAAATCAAACAAGGGATCAAAAACCAAATTAAAACGAATTTATAATTTTCAATTCCAAAGACACTTAATTAATCGACTATCGGCTTGACTCTCTAAAAAAAAATTCCCCAACGGAGTCGTCAAGCTGTTGAAACGATTTTTCCTAAAAGGTGAAAAGGTGAGATTTTAAAAACCACATTAATTTTTAATTTACCTCTTTCAACTGATTTTTAATTTAAAAACAAATGCGATTTAAAAACCTCTCGTTTCGAAAAATTTTGGATTTCCTTTACGATCGAAAAAAATACAATTCAAAGAGTCGCCACCAATCATTGATTAGGGTGTGATTGGGCACCCAAAATTGTTTGTTATTTTAAATAAAAATTAATTTTTATTAAAACAACAAATTAAGGTCTGCGTTACCAAAATCTAAGTTCGGGAGTCGGTTACGTGCAGGGAAGGATTAGCACCCCCACAACGCCCTAAAACGGTACCTAGTCGATTAATTAACGTCTTTGCAATGAACTTTACAAATTCAAATTTATTTTGATTTTTGATCCCATAAAATAAAAATGTAAATTTAAAACATTCAAAAGCACTCAAATAAATTAAATTAAAATTACCGAGTCGTTTTAGAAAGATAAAGAATGTTCTATTATTTACAAATATCGAGACCAGATCTTAAAAGCTATAACAACATTTTCTCGATAAATTTAAATAAACGAACATTTCCTTTTCTTTCGTTCCCAAATTTTAGGTGACGAATCGATTTTTAGTTTCACTTTTGGGATTCACTTTTAATTTAAAATAGTCAAAATGGCCCTCTAATCAGTTAAGACAAGCCACTCAAGACAATTTTAAATTAAAAGGGTATTACCCTTAGTCCGATTATGTATTTATAAATCGAGTTATGCTCATGAGGGTATCATACACATTATGCAGAAAAATATGTCATGCCAAAATTTATTAAACAAAATTAAAAATATCATACAGTGTGACATACAAATACATATATATATATACGTACATTTTAATTAAAAATCATAAATTATGCACATTAACATATTATGTACACATGTGACCTAAATATAAAAACCATAACATGCTAAACTATAAATTAAAATATATATATATGTACATATTAAAAAGTGTCTAAATTTAAATAAATGTAAAATTCAGCTTGCAAGTCAAAAATAAACCAAGGACCTAAATATAAGCATACACATAAACAAGGGACCTACACGTGAATAACTTAACAAAATTATAACTAAAATTAAAACTGGGAAAACAGCAAAATTAGGACAAACACAAAAGGTTAAATTCTAAAGTATTCCTAAAGGTGACTAAAGTGTTAAACAAGCTTAGACTTTGGGGATTGAAAACCTTATTTTACCAAGAAATTCAGTGACTAAATACTAATTTAACCAAAAACTCTAATATATAACCTAAATAAAAAACAAACCTAAACTAATCTAATAACCTCACCTCTGCCGCTCAAGCTCTCCACTCTCCCCTATCTCTTCTCTCACGGCGCCATTCTCGCCAAAGGGTCTACACTCAAGTTATCCGGCCGGCCATCGTGAACAAATCCACTGTCGTGGAGTTTGCCTATTGCGTCGCTAATTTGGGTGGCTATATCGGCTAAACGTTCTTGAACAACGCCGTTTGACCCGAATCCGAGGAAAACGTCTTTGATGGAAGGCCCCTCCACGTACTCGTAAGTCAGGGTATGGAGCACATGATCGACGGCGTAAAGAACCGGAGTCAAAACGCCCAGCCTGCATTTGAGGGAAAGTTTTGATATTTCTATAAACCCCCAACGCATCGTCGATTAAACCCATCTGGGAAAATGAAATAATTAAGAATCCCAACACATTGGGAGTGAGTTTCGATGTTTGTAATATGTTAAGGGCATTGAAAAGTAAGTAGCAAGCACGGTGGGGTTTCAAAGAGCTTTGGAGGGCTTCTAGTAGGAATTTTATCAAACACCTGGCGTCCGCGTAAAATCCAGCACCAGTTAAGACGTGATACATGGCTGAGTAAGGCTCGAGATTCTTCAAAGGGTTTAAGACATTGGCATTGGAATTGAAAAGCTGGAGAGCTTGTTGAGGGTTTCGGGTATTGAGGATATTCTTTGTGAGATTCAGATGAGGTGATGATGATGATGAGAAGGTTGGTATTTTACAAAGATTTGAAGGGTATTTGGTGCAAAGAAAAGGTGATTGTTTACGCGAGAATAGCTTCAACATTGTTCAATAGAGATGTTTACTAGCAAAATCATATAAGTTGAATTTGGTTCCATCTTGGACGTAAACAGCAAACCAAATACATTGGAATTCCAATTGTCTGCCCTACAGGAGCCATCAACCAAGCAATTGTATGCAAAAATGTTGGGCAAAACACCATACTTGAGAATACAAACAAAATAACTCCTTGCTACTACCAATTCACCCATCTTACAAAGTCCATCAATCAAACGGTGAATCCGAGTCTGCATCCTGACCCTCGGATTTGGAGACAAGTTAGACGTGGACCCTGACCGTAATGTAGAAGGTTTGATGTTGAAATGTGAAAGCCAAGTAGCTTTGGTCGCCATTATCGTCGACATTTTCAAAGCTGGAAGTGGGTTCCATCTCTCTCTTTTTTCCTCTTCAATTCTTTTTTTCTTTCCCCATTTTAGTTTTACATAACAATTGCACACACACACAAAGGCACTGGAAAGCAAAAATTGAAATAAAAAAAAATACCTCAATAAATTTGTATTGCTTCGACAATAGTAGAGAAAATCTTTGTTACACTACTTGCCCTTCCTTTCTTTTAAAAAATGGTCTCTGGTTCTTCTTTCCTTTTACTCTCCTGTGTAAAACTCTCTCTTCTCTGCCTGTTGATCTTGTCCTCTCTTCTCAAATGCTTTCCTTTTAAATTTTTCGTTGGTCTCCTCCTTTTTCCCAATCTCTGCTGATGGTCCCTTTTTTCTGTCCCGTTTTCGGTGGTTGATCCTGGCTTATAGTGGTTTCTAGTAGTTAAAAAAAACTGACCCCTCTTGATAATGACTTACTAACCCTTCTCATAACTGTCTTTGATTTCCATGTTGGGCTTCTAATTGGTTTGGGCACGGGCTAGATTCTTCAGGGCTCCAACTTAATCCCGGACAAACCGAGTATCTACAATCATACACAAGAAGCGCACTAACAGCTCATCGGTAATAGGCGCTTGTAATGGCACGATACCTAACAATGTGGAACGATGAGTCCAGAAAACAATAAAAGTAGCAGAATAGCATTGAACATATGATTTCTACATGAAAGTCATAGATCCGGAGTTCAAACAAATTTATCTGTAACTCTCATTTGTGTATAAAAGAATATGTTGAACTATCCAACCTTTTACCAACCTCATCAACCCTAGCTACACCCAATACCCATTGTCCCTAGAAATCAAGGGTTCAATCATGCATCTCTTCACCATGATACTAAAACTACGGTAGTGCATCTATCAATCCACAATGTAAAAGCAATCCCATTAATCTTTATCTGAATCCAAACTATATAAAGGAAACATATCTCAGGTCATAAATCTGCAAAATCGGAAGTTTTCATCGTTCCTCCTGGTTTATTATCACCTTTCCCTTCCCATTTCCATATCCTATTCCAAGTAAGAGGTCAATAAATTACATTTTCATTTTCAAATCAAAGATATAACACGTTCTGTAAGAATGGCAAAGCAAAGCAATAGCATCAATGCTTAATTGGCTACTACATCCTTGGCCTTTTAAGCATCTCAGCTACAGAACCAACATACTATTCCTCCAAATTAACAGCAGTTTAGTCGATGAGAATTCACCCTTCTGGTAGACTGACCAGTAAGTAGAGTCCTAGTTTATTGTTTTTCCATTCTTTTAGATAAGCCCCCACAATCGCAGTTACAAATAGTAGCTTGAACATGCTAACCAAATAACCTTTTTTTCATCAATTTTCTAATGATAACGTCAATTCAACACCCCAAAAAATCACGTCATTCACTCATTTTCCAACCATAATCATTTAGTCTTAAGAGTTCAAGCACGATATGGTGGCAAACGAGGAACTGCTTGATCGTTCTAATGGCAGTTCAAATTTTTGGATACACGACAGAATATAAGATGGAAAGGGTGTTTGACTGGGGAGACAATGAAGGTGGACAGCAGTTAGATATTGATTATCACATAGGCAGCAGCAATAGAATTAAACGATGATCTAATTTGGTTGTTACCTTGTTGGTGATTATGTGGCAGCTAAGATAATAATGATTATATATCTAAGGACAAAGTACAACGGCAGGCTGGCAACTGCAGCTCTCGTGCCAGTGCAACTGTACTCCGTGACACAAGGATCCAAGGGACTTTTCATATTGGACATGGTTGATTTCCATAGCTTAAAAGTAACAAAACACTTTCCAAATCAATATTGTTCAACAAAGTATCTCACCTAGATTACGAATTTATAATAGGTAGGTGTTCAACTACAACACCACTCGACTAAGAAGAGCTAGAAGTCCCTTAAACTCAAGTAGTCAAAAATAGCAATTCCACAGTGCAAAATAAACCATATGAAACATAACTAACAACTTCTAAATCACAGAAGAATAAAAAAAAAATACAATACAAAAGCACTAATCCTTCCCTATAGCATCTTGAATGGCCATACAAACAGTGATTTAAAGGTCCCTCTAAAATACTAACATCTATTTAGTTTTCAAGCCATTACTTCCACAACCAATTTACCACAAAGTAGCTACAATTCCCTGTACAATCTGAACATCAAACAAGATTTGATGCTAAACTAGAATTGCAAATTCCCTACAAGCATGGAGACAAATGAAAAAAGTAAGCAATCATCATCTTTTTTTACGACTTCAAAATTAGGAAGCAGTCAAGCAACAAAGTAAAACAGGCATTCTCATCAAGATGGTGGCACTCATCAAAATCTCTAAACCAAACTTATTACAAAGTTCCATCGAGAAAACTATATTATCATACAGTAATTTTAGTCCTATGATAAAATTGAAACCATTATTACATCCAGTAGAAAGCAAACATAGTATTGCAATGGAGGATCACTTCACTTCTGGCTCATTATCGAAGCCATTAATAACAACTAAAAAAAATGCAAGAGGAAGACAATTCTAGATTTGCTGACTCGACTTCCGATTATTAGCAACCCAATCATATTAGTATTAGTAAAACAAAGTCAATCTAAATATTAATATATTTGTCAAAGACAAGCAACCACGACACCATTTAAGCAATGTTGTTTACAGATTTAGATATGCAAGAGTAACAGCAAGACCCTTCCTTTTTTTTTATAATATGCAGCTGAAAGAGAAATTTGTATAATCCCATTTCAGAACTAATCAAACTCCAGCAGAAGAGAAGTTGCTTTCTTTTCCACGGAGCCAAGGGAACAGAATTCCCTTTCTATATTTGCTCACTTTTGTTTGCAAATTAGCAGAGAGCTAAGTATACCCAGATCAAAAAAAAAAAAAGACAAGGAAATTGGGAAAAGTGAGACCTTTCTTGACCAGCAGTGTCCCAAATCTGAGCCTTGATGACCTTAGTATCAACATTCAAGCTACGAGTAGCGAACTCAACGCCAATAGTGGACTTGGACTCAAGGCTAAACTCGTTCCTGGTGAATCTAGAGAGCAGATTAGACTTACCTACTCCTGAATCACCGATCAACACCACCTTGAAAAGATATTCATAGTCATCCTCTGCCCTGTAACCAGCCATCTTTCACTCTTCTCAAAGCCTCACAGCTATTTCCCCTCCTTTACTTTCCCTTTTACTTTTCTCCGAGTGTGAATATGAGTAAGAGCGTGTGAAAGAGGGTTTCGTTTCAACTTTAAGATCCATCTCTTGCAAAAAGAAAATATATGTAGACTTGCCCTTTTTGTTTAGGTTATAATTTGGAAACGCAAAGGACTGCTGTCTGTGGAGTTGGACTCCTGAGTGGAAACTTGGACTACCTGGGGACTGATCTTGGTTTACCTTCTTCATTTTTTAACAAGGCTTGGGCATTTATTAAGCTATTAAATATTAATAAAAATTGATTTATTATTCAATAGTGCAATAGTGCAATCTTAGCTGTTAAAATGAGGGTGTAATGGTTTTTGAGTTGGGTTGAAGTAATTACAGGACACAATTTGTTGCTGTTTTTGGTCCTTTTTATTTAGAGAGACACAGTGGATCCTTCAAATTGAAGGGTTAAAGTGAATTGGATGCTGATGTTCAGATCTGTGTTGAGTTTTTTTTTTAGTTTGTGCATGAATTGGTTGCTTATTGCGGTTGAAAAAGATATGAATGCTGAGGTTTAAGAACATAATTCCTGGTTTTAGGTTTTCTCTCTCTCGTAATTTTCTTGATTTCTTTTTATCATAATATAGAAGCACGTTTCTTTTAAAATATATTTTTAAAAAATAATTTATTTATAAAATAGTATCTTTGCAATGTTCAGACGATACTGTATACAATAGTTTTTGCTGATTGATAGATATTCTTTAAAGTGTTTTTAGTGACAAATCATACTATAAATTTTATTAATTTTGTTATCTTTCATTACATGTCGAAAAGAATCTGAACATATTACAAAGTAATTAAAAATTACCATTTGAGATTCGTACATAAAATTAATGCATTTATATAAATATCCATTAACATCTTTATTTATATTATTTTAAGATGGTTAAGCAATGAGCCTTTATGAATATGGACACTATAACTAATCACCATCACATTCAGTGTTGGAACACCTTTGAATTCCACTCCATTTTCCTTCTTTTTTAAGATTATCCTACTTTTCCCCCCTTTATTTACTAATATTATAAGTAACAAATACTAATCAATATAGCAATGAATTCATCAAGTGAGCTTAATGGTTAAGGAGAGTATTATTCTCTCTAAAGGTCATGAGTTTGAGCGATCACATTTTTATTGCGCGTGACTTGTTAATAATTAAGAGAGATTCTAAATAAATACTACATTGTAATAACCCATTGTCATTTATAAAAAACTAATCAATGTATCTAACATAATTTGTAAATATATTTTTATTTAAATTGTATTCTAACTATTTTAGACACGAGGGTGAGCCGTAGTTTAGGTAGATCTAAACCTAGATATGTCCCTGTATGTCTGTATATACAAAATTTTAATCTAATATAATTTTTATGAATTATTGAAATCAATATTGATATATCATCATTTTATATTTATATATTATAAATAAAAATAATTACACTCATCGAATACAAAAAATAAATAGATATCTTCATTTATTTTTAAGATATAAATAAAAAATTATATTTATAATTATATCAAAATCAAAGTTTGATGTCGGTGAATACACATAATCAAAATTCTTAAATCACATTGTACATTTGACTAAAATCCTTGTGTAATTCTGATATTTGGGTGGTCATCTAAATGAAGCCTGGCCCATGTCCTTGTTTTATAAACTATAGTTTCGACCCAAGTCATGGCTAATCTTCATATCTCTTTCCACTTGGGCCTCAAACAGCTTAAACTCCTCCCATGCAAAAAAATTGCGATCAAGCCAGAGGAAAACAGTGTTAGGCTAAACAACATACATACATACAACTAGCTACACTTAGGCTAAAGAACTTCATTAATGGCAGTAAAGTGCTAAAAGGATGGCTTACAGAATGATGAGCCTGCTTTTTCTTCACTATGATCACCTCGATTTCTAGAAACGGTCCATTGTTATTATTGTTTTATGACAGACATAGCTGGCCACAGTCGCCCAGCTTATAAATATTGCTAATAGTAATAGCCCTTTTCCCTGCATCTTAACCATGTTGTTTTTGGGTAGGGGACAAATTGCGCATAAATAATGAAAACCAATTTAGATGAGGTTTTTGATTCAAAACTCGTTTGGCTTACACAGATGGGAGTCTCACCGCGAAGTCCAAGATGAGTTCGGCATCCAACGAGTTGAAATTATTGGCACCAACAAACGTTGTCAGTAGCCATGGAAACGGCGAAAGGCAGGCCCTACTTCTTCCTAGTGAAATGTCCTGCAAAGGGATTGTTTTTGGTAAAACGTACACCACAAGTCCAAAGTTTCAGAAGAAGATGGAAATCATAAAGTGCACACATTTTTTTAATTTTTTTTTGGTGTTTAGCTTTGCAACACTTGAATCTTCCTTTGTCAGTCCTGCAGCAGAATTAATTATCCGTGTCACCAAAGTCAACAGCTGCAGCGCCGTGTTCCTCAAAATAATGACCATTGTTAGTGGATTTCTTCCCACAAATTCAACTCAATTTACAGGATGATTTGCAACGTACATAGGAACCTTTTCTTTATTTGTACGTACATATGAACTTTGATATAGGGTGTAGGGTCCTATGGTACGGACTGTTTTTTTTATCTCCCATCTTTTCTGTTTGAATGATAAAAATTTACGGTTAATTATCATTCATATTTTAGTTTTATTTATTTTTTATTATTGATTTTAAAAAATATAAGATATGATAATTTTTGTTTTTATTTAATTAAGATAGAATTATTTTTATTTTTTATTTAATTAAAAACTATTAACTATTATTAATAATTAATATAATATGTGACCTGATAATTGATATAATCATATATTTAATTCATATTATTTACATTTTTTAATTTAATTATATTTTTAAATAAATTTTAGATTACCAAATGGTCCTACTTGATTAAAAGCACGTTTTTCGAAACAATCATTGAACAAAAAGTAAACACTTCAGCCGTATTTACCAAACAAAATTGCGGATTTTCATTATAAGCTTAGATCCTAAAATTCAAACCCCAGATATATATGCCCTTGGTTATGCGACCCATGACCTCTCCATGATTGCATATATGATATATACAATTTATAAACTCAAGATCGTTTTAATTGTCATCATCTTCTTGTTCTTTGTTGCAGAGTTTATTTTGCTCTGAATTGTATATAACTATATATATATTTTTTGTATCAATGTCTAACTTTGAAATATTTTCATCTTCGCCTTCTAATTTGCCTCATCCATCTCCTGTTAAGGTTCAAGTGGTTCCTAAAACTGTGCCCGACCGCCTCCTCGAGAAGTTTCTCGATGTGTCCAAATTCAACTTTGATTATTGGAAGAGTGGAAATTGGTCTCCCCCGTTTCGAAGAAGCGCCTTCTTAGGCTCCTCTGGTAGAATATTTACAAAACAAGAAATGCTCCAACGGCTCCGAAGAGTATTGGACCGTCGTCCTCGAAGGAGAGAGAGTTTTTTTGTCAGTGTTGTTAGGGAAAACGGATTATTTTCCACACGAACATAGTTTTAAAATTGACCTAAAATGTCAAGATTAAAACCACCAAAGGTTCTACAGCGGATAAACCTGTCAAACTATTGAATATTGAAACACAATGGAAAAGAACCAAATAAAAACAATAAAGGAGAGAACACACCAAATTTACGAGGTTCGACGATAATATCGTCTACTCCTCGGGCACCACACCAGATGATAACTTCACTATATCGCCAATATTACAACAAATAGAATTCTTTAGAATTCCCAAAGTGAGAGAATGAAGAATACAAGAGGAAGAGAAAACTTGTTTTTGGGATGATTTCTAATGGAAATACTTAGGCCTATTTACAGTTGAGTTTTAAGAATAATATGTTCAAAGTTTGGCCACCTACCAAAGAATTTTCCAATGTGTACAAGTTAGCCACCAAATATGAAATTCACATGTTCAAAGTTTGGCCACCAACCAAGATGAAATTTCCAATAAGTTGGCCACCAACCAAGATGAAATTTCCAACTTGTCAACTTAATTTCTAGACAAATCTAACAAATCTCCACCTTGGCTTGAAATTACCAAGCCTACTCAACTTCTTCAACTCCCCAAATTTGTAGTGCCTCTAATTACGCTCACAAGCGCCACACACCCGAAGGTGTTCATACTTTCAGGATGTTAATCAAGTTCAAACAATGATTGAACTTGATTACTGTTACCACCTTGGTCATCATATCTGCAGGATTTTATGATGTCGCAATTTTCTGAAGTAGAATCTTTCATTCTTCAAAGATCTCCCGCACAAAGTGATACCTCACGTCGATATGCATATCCAACCACACACTGACCAAGTGCTTCATCATGTTCAAAAACTAAACCAACATCCACGGTTTGTTGGAGATATCGTAGAATCCATTTCACAACTTGCCAATGTCCTTCTCCAGGATCATGCATGTACCTGCTCACAACTCCAACTGCTTGTGAAATGTCAGGACGCGTACACACCATTGCATACATCAAGCTCCCAACTGCATTAGCACATGGAACTTTTGCCATATACACTCTTTTTTCGTTAGTTTTAGGAGATAATTGAGAACTAAGTTTCAAATGAGAAGCCAATGGAATACTTACATGTTTGGTATTTTCATTCATGCCAAAACATTGTAATACCTTTCTCAGATATTGCTTCTGTGTTAAACAAAGCTTCCCTCTCTGTATATCTCTGCTTATCTCCATACCAAGAATCTTCTTGGCCTCACCTAGATCTTTCATCTCAAACTCTTGATTCAACTGAGCCTTTAATTTGTCTATCTCCTTTTAACTCTTCGAAGCGATCAACATATCGTCAACGTACAAGAGAAGATAAATGAAAGATCCATCTTTGAGCTTTTGTAAATACACACAATGATCATATTTGCTTCTAGTATACTTTTGCCTCCTCATAAAGCTATCAAATTGCTTGTACCACTGCCTCGGAGGTTGCTTCAATCCATATAGCGATTTGTTCAGCTTACAACCCCATTTCTCACAACCACCATCTTTGTATCCTTCTGGCTGAGTCATATAGATCTCATCTTCTAAATCACCGTGCAAGAAAACCGTCTTTACATCAAGTTGAGCTAGCTCCAAATTCAATTGTACTACCAAGGCCAACAATATTCTAATGGATGAATGCTCTTCATTGTAGTCGATTCCCTCCTTTTGAGCGTAGCCTTTAGCTACCAACCATGCCTTGTAGCAAACATCTTTCTTGCTATGAGATCAATCTTTCTTTACAAATATCCACTTGCATCCAATGGCTCTTTTATCTTTCGGTAATTGTGCCAGTTTCCAAGTGTTGTTCTTTTGGAGAGATTGTATTTCTTCATCCATGTCACTTTTCCACTTATCACTTTACAAGCTTTGTATTGCTTCTTGGTAAGTGATAGGGACATCATCATCAACAACTGGAAGAGCATAGGCCACCATATCAACAAATCGAGCAGGTCTACGAATTTATCTCCTTGGCCTTGTAACTGTAAGTGGTTCTGGTGTCTCCAATGGTTCTTGGGTTTGAACCTCTTCATCTTCTGATTCTTCTATTGGAGTTGAAGAATCAGTTGCATCAACTTCTGGGATCATCGTCTGCTGAAACTCCACCTGTTTTGGAGTATGCTCCACCTGTTGCGGAGTACTACTTGTCTGGACAACTTCACTTGTTACCTTCTTTACTAGGGCAGATTCATCAAAGGTAACATCTCTGCTACAAATTATCTTATTGGTGTCTAAACACCAAAGGCGGAATCCCTTCACTCCATGGGTGATTCCCATAAAGAGAGCCTTCTTTGCTCTCGGATCAAGCTTGGATTCCTTCACATGATAATAAGCAGTGGATCCAAATACATGTGAGGAATCATAATCAGTAGCAGGTTTTCCAGACCATACCTCCAATGGTGTTTTTCTTCCTATCGCTGATGACGATAGACGATTGATGAGATGGCCAGCATATGTCACAGCCTCAGCCCAAAATGCCTTGCCTAACCCAACATTAGACAATATGCATTGAACTTTCTCCAATAGTGTTTGATTCATACGCTCTGCCACCCCATTCTGTTGTGGTGTATGTCTAATAGTGAAGTGTCGAACAATACCATACTCATGGCAAACGTCAAAGAATAGGTCACTTTTATATTCCCCTCCATTGTCCGTTCTAAGACGTTTGATCTTTCTACCAGTCTGGTTCTCGATCATATTTTTCCATTTCAGGAAAATTTGGAGCACTTCATCTTTAGACTTCATCGAATACACACAAACTCTTCTGGAAAAGTCATCTACAAAAGTTACAAAATAATGGTTTCCTCCCAAAGACGATGTCTTTGAAGGACCCCATACATCTGAGTGAATATAATCCACAATACCTTTTGTATTATGTATAGTGGTGTCAAACTTCACTCTCTTCTGCTTTCCCAGAACACAATGCTCGCAAAAGTTTAATTTGCAAGCCTTTGTACCTTTCAACAATCATTTCTTTGCCAGAATATGCAAGGATTTCTCTCCAGCATGTCCCAACCGCATATGCCACAATTGGGTTGCGTCCAAATCATCACCTATAGAAGCTGCTGCAACTGCTTCAATAATTGTACTACCTTGGTAGTAATAAAAATTATTTTTCCTGATGCCCTTCATCATCACAAGTGCGTCATATGTGACTTTTAAAACTCCATCTCTCATAGTGACTACTGAGCCTTTGGATTCCAAGGCTAACAACGAGATGAGATTTTTCTTCAAACTGGGCATGTATCGGACATCTGTCAGAACTCTGGTTGATCCATCTTGATTCTTCAATCGAATTGAACCTATCCCAACAATTTTACAGGCATTGTCATTGCCCATATAAATAACTCCTGCATTTAGTTCTACTAAATCGGAGAACCACTCCTGATTAGTGGACATATGATAGGTGCAACCCGAATCTAATATACATTCATCTGAATGGAATGTTGTTTATGAAGCAACCAATGATATGTCAGAGTCATTTGCATCATGCTCTGCAACACATGCATCTGGAGCAGCTTTTCTTTTTTTCTTCAGCTTCGGACAATCTTTCTTTCAATGGCCTTTCTTATGACAAAAGGCACATTCATCTTTTCCCATTCTGGACTTCGACTTTGATCTCCCTCTCCATTTTGGCTTTTGACTTTTCGAGCGACCTCTTACCACCATGGCCTCCATATATTCGGGCTTTTCTTCCTCAATGACGATGTCTAGACCTTGTTAGAATAAAGCGTCTAACACCTAGCCTTGCCACATGCCAAAATGATCGGATCCATCGAACAACTCCACCGAGAAATTTGCATTTGACATCACCCTCCTCACCGGTCCAGATGAAGAGCTTGGTGTCTCAACTGATCCGTATTTTGGCATTTTAATTCTAACGAACAATATTCAATATCATGAATTATATCTTTTCAGCAACGGAACCCCCAAGATAACCTCAATCGAAGCTCTGATGCCAATTGTTGGGGAAAATGGGTTATTTCCCACACGAACGTAGTTTTAAAATTGACCTAAAATGTCAAGATTAAAACCACCAAAGGTTGCACATCGGATAAACCTGTCAAACTATTGAATATTGAAACACAATGAAAAAGAACCGAATAAAAACAATAAAGGAGAGAACACACCAAATTTACGAGGTTCGACGAGAATATCGTCTACTCCTCGGGCACCACACCGGATGATAACTTCACTATATCGCCAATATTACAACAAATGGAATTCTTTAGAATTCCCAAAGTGGGAGAATGAAGAATACAAGAGGAAGAGAGAACTTGTTTTTGGGATGATTTCTAATGGAAATACTTAGGTCTATTTATAGTTGAGTTTTAAGAACAATATGTTCAAAGTTTGGCCACCTACCAAAGAATTTTCCAATGTGTACAAGTTAGTTACCAAATATGAAATTCACATGTTCAAAGTTTGGCCACCAACCAAGATGAAATTTCCAACTTGTCAACTTAATTTCTAGACAAATCTAACAAGTATATGGCAGTATACTTTTTCATTTGTTTCAACTAATATCAGCTCCAACTCTAATCTTGTTGAGGGTTGTCGATGAATCTTTTGAACATTCCTTTTTTGCAGGCATGGTGCTGCTCTGAAGGAAAACTTTGGAAATGTGAAGACTTGTTACTTAAAAGGAAGGTGAAGGAAGTATACTATCTTTGGTTGTCTCATTTGTCAAGTAGAGGTAAGTTTCATGATATCAGAATCTTTTAAGACAGCCGCTGCCGAACGCATTTGAAATGTGAACACAGAGAACAGACACGTGACTTTGTAAATTTCTATGTTGTCGAAAGAACTAAAGTGGCATCTCTTCTGGTAAACGATGATTTCTATATGTTGAATGCTTTTCTAGACGAGGAATGAACAAATTGTTTGTCAGTTGCTGAAACCGTAAGAACAAGAGAATCGTCATATAAAGCTTATGCCTATCGGTTGCCATTGTCGGGCCATTCCTGCTTCTACAAAAATATCCATGGTCTATTTTGGCTTGATGCAATCAATGATTATCTCAAGCTATATTCTGAGCTTTGTAGTGGCTTTTCTGCCAGATTCAACTGTATATTTTTCTAATGGAAACAGAACAACTTGGACAAACAACAATCAATCCCTTCCTCGAACAACAGAATTCACGGATGGCTCACTGGCTCGCTTTATACTTTTTAAGACGGAAACAGGTACAAATGGAAGTTTTGGCTTCGGGTTTGGCTTCTATTGCAATTGCCCTTACGTCGGGTACTGCGACTTGTCGATCATGTTTGTGGATATGCTCAATGGTGAAGTTGATTTTAAAGGACTTCCCCAGGTAGTTTGGACTGCAAATTGGAACAGGCGAGTTGGAGAAAATGCAACACTCAAATACAACCAAGGCGGCAATTTATGTTTGATCGACGAACATGGCAACGAAGTTTGGTCATCTTATCCATCTGGTAAGTCTAATGTTGTTGGTATGAGCATCGATGAAAGTGGTAATATGATGCTTTTCAATGAAAGCAGTCAACCCGTTTGGGAGTCTTCCCAGTATCCTACTGACACTCTTCTAATGGGACAAATAATAATGGCAAACCGGCATCTTACTTCAAGAACCCTTTCTCTCCATGACAGACAAAGCCTGTTTAACCTTTCTCTGAATTCCCGTGCCATTGTCGCATTATTGGCGGGTGACGAGCCAACTCGGTATCTAACTATTGCACCTGCTGGGGCAAATGATCTTTTCTCTAACAGGACGACGACGGAGTTTCGTTATCTGCAATTTGTTCGGTTCATTAAGGGAGGGATGTGTTTCTATTACCAAACAGGGGCTCTAAAGGAACCGCTGTTTCTCAATGCCGTAAATTCAAGTTCAAATTCAACAACTGTTCAGTTCCTGAGATTGGATACCGACGGGGGTCTTAGGATATATGGGTGGAACCCTGGAGAGCAATGGAGAAGTATTTACTTCTGGCCAAACAAATCAGACGAATGTTGGATTCCACTCAGGTGTGGCAGATATGGAGTTTGCAAATGGGGTACCTGCGGCTGTCCGATCGAACCGGACGGCAAAGACTACTTCACACTGAAGGATTACCAACATCCTCATCACGGCTGTCGCGAAATCACTCTCCCATTAACATTTCAAGGTGCATCCACTGACTATGAAATGGTTCATTTCGGGAATCTCTCCTATTTCAATACATTTTTTGCAAAGGCATCTAAACCTCAGTTGTACACTGAAGAAAGATGCAAGCAAGCCTGTTTTGAGAATACAACTTGTAAAGCCGCCTTCTTTGTTTCTAAGGAAATAGACAATGAAGGATCTTGTTATATGTATTCCGAGATGCTCTCACTTATGGGAAATCCACATGTAAGTGGCTATTATTTATCATCATACTTAAAGGTTACTTCCTTGAAGTTTAAGGTTAATGTTTCCTCTCCGGGTCAGGAAAAAACCAACTTTCACTCTTATTCTTGGGGTAAAACCCCATTAGCCGTATATTCCTTTCTCATAACTGTGATCGTCCTCGTTGCTTTATGCTTCGTGCTGTGGAAGAAGATCAACTGTGCATGCGAACAACGGAAGCATCTTAAGTCACTCATCTCGGGGTCTCTAATAAGGTTCTCGTACAGTGAGATGTCTTTTGCAACAGCTAAATTTTCCACTAGACTAGGGACAGGAGGCTTTGGAGTGGTTTATAAAGGGGTGTTGAAGGATGGAATAATGGTTGCAGTGAAGCGGCTCGAAAACACAGGACAAGGAGGGATCGAAGAGTTTCTAGCCGAAGTGAACACCCTTGGGAACAGACACCATATCAACCTGGTGAAGCTAATCGGTTTCTGTGTCGAAAAGAGCCACAGAATTTTAGTTTATGAGTATATGAGCAAAGGGTCGTTGGACAAATGGATCTTCCATGGAAACAGTAGCTTCTATCTTGATTGGAAAACGAGGAAGAAGATCGTCCTGGATATAGCCAAAGGGTTAGCATATATCCACGGTGATTGCAGGCAGAGGATTGCTCATTTAGATGTGAAACCCCAAAACATACTTCTTGACGATGGTTTCAATGCCAAAATCTCTGATTTTGGGCTGTCCAAGTTGATTAACAGGGACGAGAGTGAAGTGGTGACCAGGATGAGAGGCACGTTGGGGTACTTGGCGCCCGAGTGGCAACACGCGAGAATCACGGTGAAAGCCGACATTTATAGCTTTGGGATAGTTGTACTCGAAGTTGTGACGGGAAGGATGATCTTGGATTACAGTCAACCCGATTCGGATGTCTGTTTGCTTAAACTGCTGAAGAAGAAACGGGTGGAGAATCGATTGATGGATATCATTGAGCTGGAGAAAGAAGACGTGGAACAACACTTTGAAGAAGTGAATGCGATGATATTGCTGGGACTTTGGTGCGTGAATGAAGATCATACATCACGCCCCTCTATGAATTATGTGGTCAAGTTGTTGGAACAAGATAAGATACCCGCATTTGATTGCGATTTCACAAATTCCATCTAATGGCTAAACTATGTATTTAGTTACTCAACTATCACTTTAGTTTCGTTTTAATCACTTAATTATTTTTTGTTAAAATCATTTCTGACATTATGTCTTATTTACCCAATTTTAAAATTCATATGTGATACTAACGTGTTACCATAAGTTAATGCTACATCACTATTGAAAATAAAAAATAATACTTTAACGGTCTGTTTATTTTTTAACAACGAATTATTAAACAAAGTCAAAATATAATATTAGATACTATTTAAAAAATATACGTAAAGAGTGAAAACTAATTTATTATGATTTTGAAATATTATATTAATTTCATTTTTTAATATAATAATTTAACAACTTTTTATTACGCAACATTATACAATTATTTAACTTTTACTTTGATCAGACGAATTTGTTTGATTTAAAAATATAAAAAATAAAATTGATATAATTTTTAAATATAAAATATTAAATTTATTATCTTATTTCAAATTATGAAAACTGATAAATATATATAAATTTTGAAACAAAAATTATAATTATACCAAGTTATATTAGATGTATTTTTCAATTTCCCCTATTAAATGTATGTTTTAATTTTAGTAAGTAGCAAACAATATTTTAAGTATATGATTAAATTTTATATTTAAAAAAAAACCGAAAAAAGTGACTTGTTTGTTATTGAACCCAAAAACAAGAGACCTAGGATGTATTTTAGCCAAAATTGGCCCATTACCGCTTCCGGGAAAATTATTTAGCCCATTAGGGCACCCAAACTTTTAATTTGGGATCTACAACAGTTGCAGTAGCGTGACGAGTTTCATGGGATATAATTTTTTAATGGTTCGTGTCAGGTGAGCCCCATAATCTGATTAAAAAAATTCAAGAGGGACTCGTCACACCGACGTAACGAGTCCCAATAAAAATATTTTTTTGTAATTTTTTAAAAGAAAATAAAAAATAATATTTTATGGAGATGAAACTCGTCACGCCGGCGTGCCGAGTTCCAACAACATAAATTTTCAATTTTTTTAAAAAAATTGAATGGAAATTTAACTGACTCAAAACTAAAGGAGTAGTATAGGTACCATTACTCAGAGTATCGGTACTACTAATGTAAGTAGTATCGATATCATATATGATATCAGTACCATTCTAGCATTTTGTTTTGACAGTATCGATACTGCATCAGCAATATCGGTACTACTGCTCTATGTAATATCAATATCATATAGGTACCATTACTCAGAGTATCGGTACTACTAATGTAAGTAGTATCGATATCATATATGATATCAGTACCATTCTAGCATTTTGTTTTGACAGTATCGATACTGCATCAGCAATATCGGTACTACTGCTCTTGTAATATCAATATCATATATGGTATCAGTACCATTTTAGTATTCTGTTTTGACAGTATCGGTACTGCCTGAGAAGTATCGGTACTACAACTCTAAATAGTATCAATATCATATGTGGTATCGGTATCAATTTAACATTCTGTTTTGACAGTATCGATACCATAACTTAGAGTATCGGTACTACTATTTGAAGTAGTTAAAAACGTTTTAAGTATATGACTCAAATTTTCAACATAAATAATATCCAAAATATAGTGGGTATGATAATAAACATAATAAAAGGTAACATGATAATTAAGAAATGTTGTGAAGGTGGATAAATATAAATTCAATTATCCGAAACACAAATTTGTAACCAAATCCATAATATCAAAATGTTAATTAATTTAAGGTTCAACGTATGATATTTGAAACATCAACAAAAGAACAACTAGCATAGCAATTGCATTATCAAGCATTTGGTGGTGGATCGAGATCCGAACGAGGTGCACGGAAAGATACAACATCTTGAGAAAGAGTATCGAGCCTATCATTGACGACGTCGAATCGAGCATGGGTGTCGCGTTGCAGCTCAGTCAGTTGAGTCCCCAAGGTAGTAAAATGGGACTCCATGGATGCAAATGTACCATCCCTCATACCGGGTTAGTGATCAAATTGTGAGATTTTAATTTCAGTGACCAAATTAGATAAATTGAAAGTTCATGAACTGGATTAAAATATTTGGAGAAGGATAATTTAGCATATAAGAAAAAGTTAAGAGGGCAAACTAGTCTTTTATCAAGTAAATGAATTTAATATTATTTGGGGTTATCTTATAACCCACGTGGATGGCATTTGGGAGAAAAATGAGAGTTCTAGACATTTCTCTCATCTTCTTCTTCTTCTCCCCATGAAGCCAAGCTAAAGGTGAGTTTTCTTGTGAATCAAATTCTTGATGAATTTAAGGTTGCTTATTGATCCTTAGATAATAACTAAGCTTAGGGAAAGCTTAGATTATCTTAAAACCATAAGATGAGGAGTATAGGAAGAATTAAAGAAAGGAAGTAGAAAAGTGAAATCTTGAAGTAGAGTTCATAATAAGAATTGAAAGTGAGATTTGACTTGTCATAAAGCTAACTAAGAAGTACGAGGTGTTAGAATTCAAATTAGAACATGTTGGAATTTGGGTTAGATTCTTAAATTCTACATGGAGAATTAGATTTCTAAGTTTTAGAAGTATTTAATGGATAATAATTAGTTTAAGTAAGAGTATGTAAGTTAGGGATATTAAAAGAGGGGAAATATAAAGTGTCAAGTAGAGTAAGAAGAGATTTTCGTGCTTAAATGACATTTCTGGGCAATGTGCATCGATGCACATTCATTATGCACCGATGCATCAATGATAAATCCCAGAAATTTGTTGAAGGTGCATCGATGCATTAATTTAAATACAAACATCGAATGTCGTCAGTGCATCGATGCATAAGGAGTGCATCGATGCATTTCTAATAAAATGAACATCGAATGCCCTCAGTGCATCGATGCATCAGGAGTGCATCGATGCATGCCTCCATTAAAAGATGAAAATGGCTTTTCTTTTAGCCTAAGAAATGATAGTTTAGAATGTACTAATTAGTATACTTATAAGTATCAATGAATTATTATGTAGATTCAGAGCCTAAACGAGTTCCGGAATCATTGACAAGTAAGATCGATAAAAAGGGAAGATAAGAGATTGGAATGGACTAGTGAGGCCAGGTGAGTGCATACAAGTTAGTTTATGATGTTTAATGGAAATAAGACTTGCGACGAGTATATTTCCTATATTATAATGCATTAATTTATGATCATATGCATATGTTTGATTTGGGTATATGTGATATATATTACAATATGTGTTAAATGATTGTGTGAATACATGTATTGTGATAAGTATAGGAATTAATATGAATGGTCTATATGATTGCATGGGAATATGAAATAGGTTATATGATAAGTGGCCATACATGTTAATAGTATAAGTGATCAATTATAAGAATTTATATAATAGATTTATATGACTACATGCGAAAGGTGATGAGTTAAATAAGATTAGACTAGAGAGTAATATGAGAATAATATATTAATGAAGGGAATTGAGTATAAATGATGATACCAAACCATAAGATAAGTATTTACTTATAGGATAATATGATATTATATGAATATAATATATAACTTTATGAGAAAGAATTGGGTGTTATATGATTTAGGTATGAAAATGATCTATGCGTAAGTATATTACGTGATTATGTGACTATGTGTGAAATAGAGTAAACTAGGTAAGTATAAGATATGTAAATATATGGCTATGGAACAAAGTATGTAATAATACAATGTCATTTGATTTATGATTTTGGTATGTGCATGGAGACATGAAATGGATATAGGTTATTATATATGTTACATGATTATATGCATGTGTGATATATGCTATGAGACATGCCCAATGTGAAATGAAATAAGCCAAGTGACTATATGAAATATGTGAGATATGAATATAAAATCATATGAGAAGTGAAAAGAATTACATGAAAATAGACTAAGTGATTACATGTATATGTGAAAGAAGCTATGAGCTTATATGAACATGTGATATGATATGGAATACATGATTACACATACATATGGTATGTGACAGAAGAGAAATGACAAGTAATGTGAACTGTTAAATGACAATGCCCATGTTATGTGTCATGAGAGCTAGGGGTATAGTTGGCATGCCAAGAGTCGAGGGTCTATGTGGTCATTCGGGACATATATGTATTCTTTGGAACATGTGTGAAGTCTGGTGAGACACATACTTGATCCCTAGCATATGTATATGATTCTTAAGGAATGATATGTGGTCTTTCGGGACATTGTGGTCCTTCGGGACATATATGTATTCTTTGGAACATGTGTGAAGTCTGGTGAGACACATACTTGATCCCTAGCATATGTATATGATTCTTAAGGAATGATATGTGGTCCTTCGAGACATTGTGGTCCTTTGGGACATATATGTATTCTTTGGAACATGTGTGAAGTCTGGTGAGACGCATACTTGATCCCTAGTATATGTATATGATTCTTACGGAATGATATGTGGTCCTTATGGACATTATTATATGGCACTACGGTGCAATTCTACGCGGCACTACGGTGCAATTCTATTTGGCACTTCGGTGCATTTATATGAGCTGTGGTGACAGCATTAGTGCACAACCTCCATAAACTCACATATCTATAGTTCTCACATATGTACATGGGCTAATCCAGAGATATGAACAAATATATGTTAGTGGTATTATAAATGTTATAGAAATGATATGATGTTGTGTGTGTATAGTGTTTGATTGAAAAGGTTAAGCATAAAAGTATGTGATTACATGATAAACTGTTAATGATGAGTTATGTGTATGTATGTATTTACTGTAATTAATCTGATATGATTTTATATGATACGAAGAAAACATGTAATTTGGTATAACATGATAGAACAGAGCATGCATGTATTGATATATGTTATAAAGTGCATTATAAGTTTTTATGCCTCACTAAGTCTTCGACTTAGAGTGTGATTGTTTCACACGTAGGTTTCGAGAAGAGTAAAGAGTAATGAGGAGCAAGACAGGTCAGTTCTCCTTACCAAAT